TCCCCCTCTATAGTTACCTCCTCTATAGTCATAAAATTGGTATAATTACTTATTTATTTTTACCAATTATTTATAACTATATAGTAAATGCTTTTATATTAATCACACCTCTTTACAATCATGGTTTTTTGTATCCTGAAGGTGTGACTATAGAGGGGTTTAACTGTACTATATAATAATTTATAAAACCTTCAATACTAATTGTATGAAAGACTAAAAATATTATATCAATTTGTCATTTATCTTTATATTACTAAAAAAATTGTAGTAGTGTTGAGCACCAGGATGTGATTTAGTAATAGCATAGTTATATATGTCTATTATACAAAATCATTAATTTTTTAGGAGTTTGCTATTTATCGCCACTGGTGATCATTAATAATATATAATTAACCAATTAATTGCAAGAATAGGTTAATATATAAGTTAATTTTGCATAACAAAAATAAAAAATTTTTAAAAAATTAATTGCATCTTAAAATTTTATCTATAAAACCACTTTTTAGGCCTTAACAAAAAAATTCCTTGCAAAATTTTACTATAATTTTTGCCCACCATTACCCTAATACTAAAAGAATTAAATTTTGGTTTAAAAAATCACTTTGATTTAAACGTTACACTGGTGATGATCACCAGTGGTGAAATATAGTAATTTTGAATTTTTCATTAGTTAATTTTATTTTACATCACAATTGTTATATACTCTCAATTATTTCATAATTGCTTATTGGTAATAACGATTAGTTCCTATAAGTATGTAAAAATAGATTGATATTTTTTATCTAACGCTAAATTTAAAATTAATATAGAAGTGGTCATCAAATCCTTTGCCAAATCCTTCTTTACTGTCTTTGTTACAACCTTTTATTTCAGTTATTAAATCCAAGTGCACAAAAAAATGCGAGAAATTCACGATTTTGATCGACCAACGATGACGATCAAAAATTAGGCCAAAATTGCTCAAAGTTTTACAAATTACAGCGCTTTTCAAATACTGTGACCAGCAAATTCCACGCAAATCAGGAATCTAGAAAAAATGCCAATCTATGATTGGTTAAAAATTTATTTGAATAATTTTTAGCCAATCATAAATTGGCATTTTTTTCTAGATTCCTGATTTCCGGTGTGGTACGTGGAATTTGCTGGTCACAGTAATTTGAAAAGCGCTGTAAATTGCGGCCACCCACTAAATATAAAATGTTACAGGCTAATTTATTATTGGTCCAACCCTTAAAAAATTGGAATTAAAATTAAAAAATTAATTCCGACCAAAATTATATATAATGCAGGCCAGAATTTTGTCCATAAGCCGTTGGTCAATCAAAATTGAGAATCAACTACGCATTTTTTGTGTTATCATTTCATCAGAGCAGGTAAAAATTAGATGCAAAAAAAGAAAATTTTATAAAACATCAAAATAATCAAAATAATAAATAGTTATAATATGGTGTTTGCATTAAATTTTTTACCCATCGTATGATTGGGTCCTTAGGCTTATACTTACACCTTGCGTGCAAAAGATATAAAATGTCTTACAAAACGATTAACTTCCTGTGTAAAACAATTTCCACCAAATTTACGGAAAAAATAACGATAACATCAATCATAATTTAAAATATCCAAAATAAGAGCTAAAACGGCAACATGAAATTCATGTATTATAACTAAGGGTTAAAATTCGAATATGTGATCATGTGAATGTGAACTACCCCAAGAGCACCACCAAAAATTTTCGGTAACGTGACCAAAAATGTGGCATAAACCAATCACATTTCAAGATCAGGTGTAACGTACAACTAATGTAACACGATAGTAAAATTCAAAACCCAACGTTCGTTTTGTCAAAAAATCGTCTATAACTCAAAAGTTTGCATAGGAAACCACCTTTAGTGCTCTAATAAGAAGCGATTTTACTATATTTCTTGCTAACCTCAAACCTAATATAAGCCCTAAACAGTATTGCTTTTCACATGACCGAAAAAATTTTTGGTGGTGCTCTTGGGGTAGTTATATCATGATAACCCGACCATTCAATATTATATACGTCACAATAAATTTATTTATTTATTTTAGAGTTCCAATCCGGATAAATCCATCATCCGTTTATCCGTATCCGATTATCCGGATAATCCAAATCGTTCGGATATCCGGATAATCCGACGGGTTATCAGATAATTATCCGGATATTAATAGTAAAACGGATATCCGAATAAATTCAGATTTGGATATCCGATGGATAAATGGATAAACGGATAATGGATAGAAACACTAATCTATTTTATCACGATGATTTCTGAATTAAAAGTTACGCATAATAGTGTATTAAATCCTTTGTTACTGCCTTCATTACGACTGTCTTTGACGATTACTGATTATCATTTTATCAGACTGGTAAAAATTCGACGCAGAAAAAATTGCCCAGTATTTTGAAAATAGATACAAAAATTTATGGTGTCAGACTTGTAAAATAGTGAGAAACCTAAAATAAGGCACACTTACAATATGATGTTTCATACAAAATTTGTTACGCACGGTGCATGGGACCCTTTAGCTAAGGATTCTTGTGTTCTGTGTAGAGCACTTAAAGTGCGAAGCATATAAAGTATCAAAACAGTTTATTTCCCATATGACAACCCCACCAAATTTACGATAAAAATATCATTGATTAAAATATAAAAAATACAATGACAAACTTACTAATACAAAATAAAATAGACGTAAATAAAGAACTGTAACAGTGGCACAAAATTCATGTAATTACTCCTTGCTATATATAATTCGCACGTGCAATGTTCAGTTAAGTGAAAGCTAAAAAGTTACAGCACCCAGTATTCCCATGTTGTCCCCAACCATAGTACTGACTGGGCCATCAGTGGCTTATCTTCGGAGATCGGACGGGTTCCGGAGCTTTTCACTGTGTATGGCCGTAACTGAAAAAAAAGCCAAAATAAATTCTTTTAAAGGTTTACAAAAAAAATTGATTATTTACTGTGAATTCTCTGGAGCAACTCCAAGTATGAAAAATTTATTATATTGTATATTGAAAAAATCACCAATCGATTAAATATGAAGCAAAGATTATTCAAAATTTCTTTTTGGAGTTTTTCAAGCAAAAACCTAAATGCAGGCAGTGTAAACAAAATCGCACCAAATCGTATAATTATACAACATTAATTATTATATCAATATCACATATATTCGTTTTATGTTCTCAATAAGAATGTATATCAGCTTGATTTGGCTTTAATATTTGACTATTATCATTACGGCGCATTTGCGAAATTAATCGGGAAATTCACCAAATCCAAGTATTTGGTCCCCAAAATCAAATTTTAATTATATTAATCAATCAATGTTAAACCTCGAAAATTTTTTTGAACCCCTAATCTGTACTGATAACACGTCTAACTAGTGATGGGCCGCTGCGCAGGCGGAATATTTCGGAAGGCGGAATATGCCGGAACCCAACGAAATGTAGCAAATTTGGCCCGCATTAGCCATAATGCAGGCCCGCAGCCTGCGCAGTATTTTCAAAAAATTTTCGATTTGCCCATCACTACATCTTTCCCACGAGCTAACCCATTTTCCCACACTCATTAAACATAGGAATTTATTAAATGACGCATGATGACTTGGGGAATGTTGATTATCTCAGTTAAAATCTATATTTACACATTAGTAGTCAAATTTTTCAAATGAGATAGTTCGCAAATGCGCCGTAATGATAAAAATCAATTGATAATAGAGCCAAACGAACTGATAATATATTATGCTTAACGGCGAAATAAGTTAGTTTTATAGCTCAATAGTATGATAAAGTGCGAAATTAAATGGATTTTTAGTAGTATGTTAACATGCGAGTAAATTAAATAGCGTTTGGAGTATTATGTTATAGTGTAAAAAATATTATTAAAATCTAAGATAAATACATTCACTTTTAATAAAATAAAATTATTATTTTTTTAATATAGATCCAAAAAGAATTACATTGAGTAGTAGAATGCTTGGATTTAAATATTATTTTTACATAAAGAATAACAAGCATATGTGTAGATTTTGTCAATAATTAGTTTTTTCTTTATTTCAACTCTGTACACAAACTTTTATTTAAAAAAAGAAGTTTTCTTAATAAACGATAAATACATATTTAAACCTGTTTTTAATTAACTATGATAAATCATAAACAGTTTTGCTTAGTTTGCTTAGCTGAGTGCAAAATTTTAATAAAAATCAGTTTAATAAATTAAGCTTTTTTTCATTTACAAGATAAATTGCATTTTTTTTTGCTTAATAATTAAATTGACTTTTAATTTTTAATCATCAGTAAATCGAATATCTTATATATATATATATACTGTACGCACAATTACAAATTCTTATCGCATAAATTCCGTGTCCCTTCAGAATACCATGTCCTATATTATTCAAAATTTAATTTACAGTTTACATAACTTTCAAAAATAAAGATGGCAGTAAAAGATTTAGAAAAATTTTAAATAGATTACCTTGAACCAGGGCACAAAAATCTATTGTAAAATACCGGAGATTCCGATTAGCTGAGAAAATCTCCGGCATAATTTCTTAAAAATCAGAAATTTTCCGCTATTTCGTAAATTAATAAAATAGACTACTAACTATTAAAATGTGTTATATATGTTTCCGCTATTTCGTAAATTAATAAAATAGACTACTAAAATGTGTTAAATTAAAAAATTATTGCGCACATAATATGTAATTAATATATCGATATGTTAAATATATGTACCGTATTCCTCCGAAAATAAGCACCCCTTTTTTGCTATAAGGTTGCTTATTTCGGGTATAATCTCATATAATAATTTGAATGACTTGATATTTTGTTGCTTATTTCTATTATATAAGAGGTGCTTATTTTCAGGTATATATGAATTGTAGGGGGTGCTTATTTTCGGGGGTGCTTATTTTCAGAGGAATACGGTATATATATATTTACAAGTTTAAATAAAAAAATCTTCAAATTAATGGATCTAAACGAAAGTAACCAGAATGATCAAAGTATTCAATACAATTATGAAAGCAATTATGAAAGTGATCAAAGTTGTCAAAATGATAAAAATGATCAAATTCATCAAAATAATAAAAAAAATTAAAAGTAATAATGAAATCCAAGCCTAGTTTTCAAAGTTCTTGGCTTAACAAATTTAGATGGCTTCAATATGCTTAAGTTTCTCAATGAATGTTTTGTAAATATTGCCAACATTATAAAAAACAAAATATTTTTAGAACTACAGATAAACAAATGCAGTATAAAATAAAATTATTACTATTTATATAATACAATATTTAATATTATCATTATAGGATCTATAAATTTTGGGCAAAAAAGTTCTGTTAAAGAACATGCATCTTCAGATCAACATATAGATGCAATAAAACTTGATACTGCTAAAAAATTAAAAGACTAAGAATCAGAACAACTTATACAAAAAACAATGAGCATATAGTTGGAATTTTGAAAATTATATATATACTTATAAGGCAGGATATACCATTATTCAAACTTCCTTACTTCGTTCAATTGTCTCATGAATTGGAATTATCATTTATTATAGATAGTCAAATTACTTATGAAAATGAAATATCTGGTCATGAGTTTGCATTTGCTATATCAAATATAATCAAAGTTGAAATATTGAAAGAAATTAGTGAAGCTGTATCTTTTGGTATTATAATTGATGAAAGTATAGATATTACTATAAACAAGCATATGAGTATTTATATCATGTATCCAAATAGCTTAAGAAATGTCAAAACACATTTTTTGCAATTGCTTGTACTTGATCAAAGTGATTCAGCAACAATAATGACTAAATTAATTAGGCTGTTTCAAAATTATAGTAAGTATTATAATAAAATTTTATATTTTATATATTAATGTTAAGTACTAAATTTTTTTTAATATATATCATAGATAAATTAGTAACTTTTGCCTCAGATGGTGCATCTGTGATAATTGAAAACAAAAATGCATTGCCAAAAGTTATCTAAAATATGTTCTTATATCATTTGTAATCATTATATTGCACATCATATAGTATTAGCTTGCAAAGATTTACAAAAACAGCTAGATTATTTTATTAATACTGAGTCTGTTAATAGTAAAAAATTTTGTCCATTAATAGTTTTTGATGCTCTATAATGGCTTAATAAAGCTTGCAATTTTTCATAACCAAATTCTAACAATTCTTCTTTTTTGCATTTCTATTTAATCTCATGCCTATTGCTTCTGAGTTTTTTTTAGAAGAATTAATTAAACATATTGAAATTTATTTAATTGAAACAAAAGCTAATTGGCTATATTTACATATTGTACATATTTATCAAAAAAGGATACAAAATCATTTCTCAAATTTATAAAAATGGTGCAATGATTATTTGATAAAGTATCAGAATAAGATTTTTAACTCAGAATCTTTTACATTATATCAAAAAAATGAGTTAATCTCTCTTATCAAACTAGATGATTTACAAAATGGATTAAGTAAAAATTTCAAATTATATAATTTAATAGGGAATTGCACAAAATTCAAACTTATTATTAAGTGATTCTGAAAATTGAACTAGTGAAAATTTCTGGCTTTAAAAAATAATATTTTCAAATATCTTAAGATAATTTTGTTGATTATATAGAACTATATCAAGCAATCTTAGAAAGAAATCTTTGAAAAGCAATAAAAAGAGTTGCAAACCTAAATTGTCAATATTATCAATAATTCTCCCACTTAGAGCAATTTTGGCATACAAATTACCAACAAGTACAATAGAGCTATTCTTAATAGTTATTATTAAAAAACAAGCTAATGAAATTGCAACATGCATTGTTAAGAAGAATGCTAAAATAAATCAAGCATTTTATAATTTGTTATCAATATTTAATCTATACATATTTAAATTACTTCTTCATAGATTCAAAGGATGTTTTATAGAATATGTGAGCAATATAAAAAATTAGCTTCACTAATAATTAGTAATCATTAATTTTTTATTATCTGAGTTGCGAAGTTGGCAGGTTTGACTACCTATTCTATAGAACATCTGATCCAAAGATGGTTATTATTTTGAAAAATATGTGATAAGCAAGCAAATACTATTGTGGAGTTAGAATATTTTAAAATAATTTTTATAATAAAATTACTATAGAAGAAAATCTTTTTGATAAATTAAGGGTAGATGGTATGTAGATCATTTTTCATATGATCATCATGTGATTTTAAAATTTTACTATAAAATTGAAAGTTGTCACTAATAAACTTTTCAAATTACAATTAATTTTTATCAAAATTTATAATATATAGATAAAATTATTTATCTATTATAGTAAAATTTTGAACTTTGTATTTTATTAAAAAATATAATTATATATGTAACAAAATTTTTTTTGGTAGACCCAAAATTTTCTAAGTTGCACAAAATTATCAATTTTGATTGGTCAATTTATGTAATGCTATAAGATAAATTTAATATCTAATTTTAAAATTTTCATATCTTACTAAGTTTTTAACCAATTATAATGATTTTACTATCATTAGAATCAGAAAAACATACTCTACAAAATTTAAATAATAGTTAAATTAGATTATTTAATAAATGATTTATAAAATTAAATATAAAAAAATTTGTTATTAAGTTTATATATAATTTTAAAATAGTACTGTCTACTTTTAATTGACAAAGATTTAAAAATTTTACATAGTGAGCCAATAACAAAACAATGTGCACTGATTAAATAATGCATATTGTAGAAATCTTACATTTTTGTGATAGTGACAAAGTATTCTAGATTTAGTATAAATTATTATATTTTGTTCGAGATATATTTAAAGAAAACTCAAATACATTTTATTTTGTTAATTGGTATGGTATAGGTATGTGCTTGCCACTTTCTTGATAACTATATGAATTGTATTTTGTCTTATATACCTTTAGCTTTTGTGTCTTATACATTGTTAGGCACCTCAACATCGATATGCAGCTTGCTGTGTACTAAAGTACTTTACAAATAATACATCATAATATGCTTTTCTAGTTAATTTTTCAGTTATGCAAAAGAATGTTTGTAACATTCACTAGGTTACTTATGGCATATTTTAATATCTTGTACATTCTCTAGCACAATAAATAGTACCTCAGATCTTAGATATAGATAGAAAAGTATAAATATATAATTGTAATTCCTCTTCTAGTAATGCAACTGCTTAAAGTTGTTTCTTTTCTTATTATTATTTGTTTTTGGTTTTTTATTTTTAGGTACAGGCAGCACATTTAATAGAAGTTTGAACTTGACAATTTCTAGCCACCTATAGCAATTTGGTTTTTTTTGATTTTTTTTTTAAAAAGATTTAAGTATTTTTTTCTTTCTATTAGTTCACTTGAATCTTTAAAATTTCTTAATTTGTTAATAGCAGTTACAGCTGCAAAGAGTGAGAGAGGACAATATAAAGCCAGAAATAATTGTTTTAGACAGCAGCAAAGAAAAGTACAATTTAACTCTATATAAAAAATTTTTTAATAAATACATATTTTTTTTATTTTTATTTTTATTTTTTTAACTATTGGCAGCCTCGCAGATATCTTTATTAGATCAAAGCATATATATATATATATTTAAAGGAGCTTTCAGAAATCAGCTGATTAGAGTTTACTAAGTGATCATCTTAACCTACCCCCACACACCCCACCTGATATCCAATCAGCCAATCAGATTTCACATTTATTAAAACTTATAATTAAATTTATATATAATAAAAAGTATTGAATAACTTTTGATCTAATAAACCAATTAGAATTATTTAACTACTATATGATCCTCTCATTAAAAGAATTCTAACAAATCTAAAATCATAAAAATCTAATAACTAGAAGCTAAGATATAAATAGTTTTATATTATTATATAATAACTTAAAATAAAATATATTTATAGTAATACAAATCTAACATATAGTAGCTTTGCTATACAACTTAATATTAAGGGTAGGGTGTCTGTAGATCATTTTTCATATGATCTACGTCGTATATTAAAATTTTACATAGACAGCAAAAATTCGTCACTGATAAAACTTTTTAGAATCGTGACTAATCTTCACCAA